TTTTTTTTTTTTTTGCTTGCTATTGTTAAAAATAAGAATGAAGCTTGATGTTTTGTTCTTGATTCTTGAAAGGTAACTTTTGTGGTTTGAATGAAGCTTTTGTTTGTATCCTACTGAGTTAGAGCTGGTCAGACTCTAGAGAGAGAGAGAGAGAGAGAGAGAGAGAGAGAGAGAGAGAGAGAGAGAGAGAGAGATGACATACGAACAAATATGCTTATTGATGTAAACACGAAATCGAAAACAACCGTTTCCAAACAAAAAGTGCAAGCTAACACTTCCAATTTTAAGCATTTGATTGAAAACCCAACTAAAAAAATCTTTAGAAAACGAGGAGATTCCCGGCTATTCTCATCTAAAACAGAGCATCCCCAGAAACTTACTACAGAAAATGTTCATTCAGTCGATCGATAAATTTATGCCGAGGCAGTTTTCCTTTGCTGAAAGATAACTGCAAAGATGGGTACCCCAACACCGATGCTGAATGCAGTAAGGACACCGAGAGTCATTGTAAGTTTCTGGTTTTTCATACGGTCCAAGTTGTACATGTGCTTTGCGTGAAGGTAGTAAGGCTCGTCATGCCCGTGTCCTCCTCCCATATTCTTCGCGCTTGTTGAGTGAATCCCTCTATTCACTGTAAGAAAAAAAATATTTTTCCATCATAAATACGACACAGTATGATTCATATGATGTAGAGCCAATGTATAAAAGCGGTTATCTGGTCCACACATATCAGTTGCTCATATCATGTGTTCTTGATCTTGATGTAAGATGCAACTCTTTCATGGTTTGCAAAAAAAAAAATTGATTTTATAGTTTATCGTCTACTGTCTATTTGAGAATTGAAGTGCACAAATCCAGCTGTCTGGTCTTTTACAAGTTAATACATGCGAGACAGATGGATTGAGCATAAAGGATTTGTGTCTGTTTTTTTCGAAAGATAAGACTTCTTTATGTAATGCTAGTGAGGGAAGGAAGCATAAGATGGATTTGCCAGCACAAACAGTGGCATTACAATTTAAACAGCTAATAACATTTTGGTACTGCAACGCACCATTTTAGATTTTCAATTGTGCTCCGCTAGATAGAAAGAACATGAGTTTGATTTCAGCTTCTATTATCGGCACCATCTCAGTCACCAGTCACCACACATGTAAGTTGTTAAGAATGTATAAACAAATGCAGGACACCCCATGCATCAATACCAACTCAGCATGAACAAAAAAGCACTTTTTATACTTTGGTATGTTAGTTCAGCGACATTAACAGAAACAAGTAGATACCATAAACTCAAAATTTCAATGGCAGTGATTGCAAAAGATTGCAAAGTCGAGTCGTCCAATCAAATAAGACACTAGAAAGTAAACAAGAATAAGAATATGAGACCTATGAACAAAGAAAATTAATCAAAGGTGACACATAATCCTGAGTCAATCTTGTCAATTTTAAGAACCAGTAAACACTTTGCTAACATTTATTCTGCACGAGTTAAGAGTTCAATACCCGTCTTGAAAGGTATTGAACATATCAGTACAAATCACACACAGATCAAGACGACGACACTCATTAAGAAGTATAAAACCTTATAACTAACAACCCCTGATCAAATAGATCATACATATCATGGATAGATATAAACGCGGAATCGTTAGCCTAAAACTATTCGTGCACATAGGACTCGAGGCACAGGTCACCAATCATTGTGCATACTTTGCCCAAGGAGAACATAAACATGAATAAGGTAACCTGCTCATCCAGTTCACCTAAACAAACAAGCTCATCAGACACCTAATAACTATACCATAAATGAAGAACAAATACCACCAGAAAAGCTAGTACAAACCATTCAATCCTATCATAATAACAAAACAAAACGAGAGAGCAACAAACAGATCCAGCAACCATCATCTAGTGAAGGAAAAATTAACAAAAATTAAATAAATGACAATACCTGATTTGGGGGCAATCGATGGAGAAGGACTCAGTAGCTTGGAGGTGCAAAATCTGAAACCGCTCTTCATCGCCATCTTCACGTGAATCTAGTTGCAGAGATAATAATTGTTGAAGGCCAAACAAAAATGGATGAAAAAAGTTGGAGCTCGAGACGAGGGTTTGATTTTGATGGATATTCCCTGCTAGGGGTGCCAAAGCCGAGCCGAAACCGAAAAACAAAGCCGAACCGAGCCATTCGGTGCAGTTCGGTTCAGTTTTTCTTTTAATATTAAAAAATTCGAAAACAATGCGGTGCGTTACGGTTGTATTTTTTTTTAAGTTCGATTTTCGGTTTTGTTCGGTTCGGTGCGGTTTTGCCCCGAACCGCTAAAATGTACATAAAAATTGAGATAAACCAAAAAATCGAACCGAACTGTGCATTTCGGTGCGGTTCAGTTATTTTAGTGTATAAAAATTTCGGTTCCGTTTCGGTTCGGTTTTTCTAAAATTGCGGTGCGGTTCGGTTAATTTTTTTGTCAAGTTCGGTTTTTGGTTTTTTGGTGTTTGGTACGGTTTTTTGTCAGTATCGGATTGATCTCTAGGCTAGGCCCAAGCTTATTGAGATAAGAACTGTTGACGAGATGAGTTGCTCATGACCTCGAGCATGATTATTTGCTCGTTTAGGTGTTAAGCTTCAATAATTGTGTTTTTACATAATTTTTTAATTTTTAGAATAATTTAATTCGTTAAGAATCGAGCTAAAAAAGATAATGTTCAAGATTGATCAGCTGCTCGAGCTTGTTTATCAAATCAACACCGATAAAAGCTCAAGTTTGAGCTCGAACTCCTAACTACTGCTATAGTTGTTAAGCTGCTTAAACAAAATGAGCTAACGAGTCGGACGTCATTAAGACTTGTACATAAAAAATTTATAATTTTTTTATAATTCAACTCGTTAAGGCTAAACTCGACTCGTTAATATTGATAAACGAGTCAAACTCCAACTCGATTACTAGTTCAGTAAGTTAACGAGCTCGTTTACAATCCCTAATCTTCACATATTGGATCCTCATGCAGTCATGCTCTAGCAACTGACCGAAATCCCAAAATGTGGGAAAATTAAGAGTATTTTTTTAACATATTGATATTTACCAAACTGAAGGTCACTAAACAGTCAGCAAAGCTACAATCCACAACCTAAAGCCAACCTACATACTACTAAAGAAAAGACTTTGAACACCCATTTTACACGAGTATATAAATAAACGAGTCGCTTTGAACACTTATCAACCGAAAAACATCATATTAGCTACCAACAGCCTGTGGCATTACTGAGGCACGAAAGATGACATGGCTCGTCTAAAATCGAGAGACTCAAGGGCAGAATCCGGGAAGGGCTGTGTGCCGGGCAACCACAGATTGCCATGTGGAGGCAGTATAACCTGACCTTCATTGCTCCGTTCACCTTTTTGTCTAGCATCACTAGCCGGGACTTCTTCTTTTCCTTTCTTCACAAATTGAAAAAACTCGGCAACTTGACGAGCATACCTTCACCCACAAACGATTGAGACATGAAAAAAGACGTGAGATGATGCGATTCGGTTTCACAAATGGAACAAAGTAATACAAAGATGCTATAACTTTAACTCCCACACGATTCACAAGTTCTCACGCCATGAGGTACGAGACATGAAATTCTTGAACTATATACCAAGTTTACATCATTTTTTTGGCAGCTTTTTGAGCTCAAAATTTGGGAAAATGAAGAGTAATAAATTTGAAGAGTGCATATTAAGAAACCCATTATCAGACTTTTGCTGCAAAATGTGGAAAATACTCAAAAACATATCAATAAACAAGAAAAGCCAACACACGTACTCTCGCTTAGCATCTATGTCCCGGCTGAAATCAATATCTGGCTCACAGTCAAGAACCAAAGCAGGAACCTGCTCATTGGATAACAAAGGTAAGTTAATGAAAAAAATAAAATAAAAAGAAATAAAAAAAATAAATAAAATCATCCAGCAGAAGAAACAGCTGGAGTTCAGTAGTAGTAAAAATAAATTAATAATACCTTTTGGATGCTCGAGTGCATATGATCACCATTCAAGTAAAAAACCCGATCCCTTATATTAGGATGCAAAGACCAGTCGACATTACTCGACAGCTTACTCACGGAGAGCACCCCGTGATTTCCACTCTGGAAAGGGAAAAGCCAGCTTTCGTGTTTTTCGTGCAAATCCCGCAAATAATCAAGAGACACTCCACCTTCCTCGGCTCTTTTACGCAACATCATGCGCTTGTGGCAAGTGTCAGGGCTTGCTCTGAGGTAGATAAATCCATCAGGAATAAGACCAGGCAAGCTCGAGACAACCGGGTCGAACCACGAGTCATATATACTGATTTCCATCTCGTTCATCCACTTTGCCTCGTGAACAGCTCTCACAAAGACCTTCAAGAAAGAATGTCATTAAGTAAAGGCTAATAATGCCTTAATTGGGATTATTTACATAACTTAGAACAATGGTTTTGGATAATGGGTTCATCCCCAAAAACCAAACCATGTCTCCAAAGAAGATATACAACCCCAGCTTTGATTAAATGAAGCAAAAGCAGGAACTGTCATGTACGAACACTTAAAGGTGATGTTTCTTCAGCTAAAAGTCATAGATCATTTACTTTTTTTAATTCTTTCTAGCCGTTTGTTGCAATTGTTGTTAACAAAGCTCAAGAAGATAAATACTTACCATCCTATCACTGAAAACACTTCTCTCCATCAGCCTGAGGGGCTTAACCCCGCCAGATGACTCCTTCTCCTGCATAACTCTAGTGACAAACACATAATTCTGGAAAGTATAAGCGTATCTTTCAGGCTCAGCATAAAAAGCATCTAATATGTTAAAGTGGTCGGGCCCTATATTCTGCCACTTGTCGATTGGCTCGGGCACAACCTCCACGAGATCCCTAAGTTCCAGAGTCTCATTAGCTATCCTCTGCAAAAACGTAGTCTTCCCAACACTGATATTTCCTTCAACACACAAAGTGATTCGTTTCTTTTGGACCGGCCTTGAATCGTTCTCCTGCAATTCTTCATCCACACTCTCTTTGATAAATGTGGTTATACTCTCAGCATGGTTCTTGTGTATGATGCCCACAGAGCTCTGCAAGTACTCCACCATTTTCTCGCTGGATTTACCGGAAAACTGCACCACCGTATGCATGTTTATTACAATTAGGAGAGTATTAAGTTCACAAATCCAGTTCTTCGAAAATTACAAATCATGTAACCCAGCTATTCCTAAAGGCTACAAGAAATGTAGGATTATAAATGCATGCAAAAACAATACTGAAAAAGGAAAACGAATGAATAAGTGAAGAAAAAATGGAATCATTTTCTCGCCATACCCACAAACAATCCAACCTCGGGCCACAACACGTACGATTGCACCTTAAACTAAACCCTGCATATCAACACCAAGTGTCCACCCATTAAAACATGAATACATTATGTTCATGTTTTTTTTCCTCTCTAATCTTTCGCAACAGCATTCGTCCACTATAATAACCATTCGTCACAACTAAATAGATAAATTTCACGCCACTAGGAGATCCAAACTGCAAGATAATCTACTGGTACCCCAATAAAATAAGAAAAAATCAAAATAAAAATGATGATGATAAAAGCTTAATTCGAAATACCTTGTCTTTGTAGAGCTGTTTAAGCTGCGCTACACCCTCAAATCCTTTTTCCACCAGCTTCCTCAAATTCCTGGGGCCCACACCAGGTATTGTCAGCAAATCCGGACTCGCAGCCACCGCCAGCGGCGCCCCACCACCGCCGCCGGCGATTCTCTGCCTCCTCTGCACCTTGCCTCTCACATTTTCGTCATCATCCTCCACTTCGTTCGCCGTCAACAGCCCACCACCCTCCTTCTCCAAATTACCGGCCTGCGCCGCGTACCAAGCTCTGTGGGCCCCACCCAACCCATCGTAGCTCCTCACCTTCGGAGCCACCCACGCCCTAATCAGCGGCTTACTACCGCCGACCTCCACGGAGCTGCCGCAGGGACGACAACAGCAGGAGGGCGTCCGCGTTTCACCGAGCCCGAGTCCCCGAGGCGCGGCCACCGGAAGGGGGTTCGTCGACCGGGGGCGTGAGGGATGAGGATGGGGGAGAGCGGCGGAGGAATACATCTTGATTATTCTGGCGGTGGCGCCGCTGCTCAAACCCAGAGATAGAAAGCTGGGTTTCGAGTGGGGCAGCGAGAGGGGCATGTTAATGGGTGGGATAAGGTGGCCGGAGAAAGAAGGTCTTCTGCACAAAAGCCTCTGCATAGCTATGGCGCATCTCACAAACAAAACTTATAACTTCGAACTTAACAGTAGGAGTGTTTTTTTTTTGTTGGGGGGATGGTTCGTCTCCAGTCTCCACATAAGGGTTTTTGGGAAGAAGAGAAAAGGAGGACTTTTTTTTATTTATTTTTCCTTTTTCTTTTTCTTTTTCTTTTTTATTTTCCTCTCCTTGCCCTTTTCTTTTTGAAGAATAATTTTTTTTTTTTTTTTTCGAAACGATATAGTTAAGTACAACTAGAATACAATTAGAATACCAAACAGCAATCTAGCTGAATCTAGTGGGAGGACTTCAGATTCGGAGCCTCGAAGACTACTCAAACGCACCCACAAGACAACACTAACAACACAAACCCTAAATCGAGACAAAAGCTCCTACTGGAGGAGAATAAGCTCCTACGGGAGGAGAATAAGCTCCTCACAGGAGGAAAATCACCAAACACACACAACAAAAAACAACAAAACATACACATCACAAACTAACAACACAAACTAACAACACAAACACCACAAAACAACATAAACTAAATAAGATAACACCCTCCTTCCAACTGGCGAAACAAACGCACACGCATCAGCCCGACACCCAGAGATAGATGCCCACATGGATAGGACTCCAACCCCAATACCGAACCAAAACTCCAGTGAACCACGGCTATCTGGAACTGTATCAGACGACCGCAATCTTCTCCAGACGGACTATCCCTCAGCTCCGACCGACGTTGAAGAATAAAAATTAAAAATTGGAGTTTTTTTTACTTGAAAAATGACTTGGGATATGTTTGTTAAAACAAGTTGACAAGCTAGCTTATAGTTTATCAATTTTTAGCATATAGTTTATAGCTTATGACTTATAACTGATAAGTTAACTTATATAATAAAAGTGTTTGGTAAAATTAGTTGATAAGCTAGTTGAAATAAAAAAAATCAACTGACTTATTTGAAAAGCTACCTACGGAAGTTTATCAAATAAGTTCGAGTTTTTTAAAAAATTTCGTTTTACCAAACGAGGCTTATTTGAATACATGAAGCTTATAAGCTAACCGAATAAGCTATAAGTTATTTGTCTACCAAATAAAGGTTGTAGTATTTGAATTTTGAAATACAAAATTAATATTTTGATTTAATTAAGAGCATAAATTTTTGTAGAAATAATAGAGGTTTTACATAATTTATTGAATTATCACTATAATTCATTTTTAAGGCTCCTTAACGAGGAATTTGAGTTTGTTTATGGGCTCCTTAATTTAAGGAGTGGAGTTCAATTTGATTTGTTAAGAATTCTATTTCAAACACAAGTATTAGAAGTCCGTCTCAGTTTAACTCCTTGCGCACAATATATACTAGGGAAATATTATGATTTCGTTACGGAACCATCTAGTCGGGAATTATAACCGGTGGATACACATGTAATTAAAACATCTGGATAAATTCTTGTGTCTTTGTTATTGGTAATTAAAATATTTATTTTTTAAATGAGATTAATGGCAAATGGGAGACAAAACGTACCGACCCTTTTGTCAACTGACACCTAATTTTCAGTCCTATCCATACCCAGCAGCTGTTGCTCGAGTTAATGTTAGGCTCGTTTTGATTCGATCGTAAAGGAACACCAATTATTGGGCTCCAAGATCATTAAAGCGTTTTAAAAGCCCATCAAATAGTCTGGCCTAGTTGATAGGCCTGAAAACAAACAACCCCACTTTTGGCTGGCCCAATGGACTTATTGGAATTAAAACAGTCGTTCAGTTGGACATTTAGAGTAAAGTTGAACGAAGCGAGTCGCTCGTAAGTTAAACTCGACATTTACTAGATGAGCCGAGCTCATTTGAAGCTCGTGCTAAGGCTTAAAATAGTAATTTTTTATGTAATTTTTTTTCTAATCGGTTCGTTAAGGCTCGAATTCGTCTCGTTAAGGCTCAAGATCGACTTGTTTACACCTCAAATTATAAGAAATTGGATACTTGATAATGAAATTATAAACAGTAATCAGATCGCCTAAAAAAATATCAATTACTGCCGTAATAATTAGGTTTCGTCTAGGAACATGATTAAATTAATTAATATAGGTTTATCTTCTCGTCATGGAAACAAGCATAAATAGTCGTTAAAAAGATAACATTCTTTGGTCTTGAAAGCTGAATTTAAGAAGAAAAAAGACACAAATAACATCATTGACAATCATGTAACAGAATGAAATTAAAAATAATAATAATAATAATAATTTGTTTCTATCTATGAAATTGACAATATGAAATAGACAAAAGAACAGAAAGAAAGAAAATAATAGTGACTAAAAATATTTATACTCCAATGTCTTTGACTTTTTTTTTTACACGACTTATTAGGTATTGTTGATGAGTAAAAAGGGCACACAAAATCAAAGGAACAAAACAATTAGTATAACATGTGATGTTAGAAGACAAAAGCATAGTGTCTATTTCTAGAAGGTTGGGTTGGTGGGTTTTTAACCTTTATATTAGTATTTGCACTAATTAAGGAAGCCAAAAACTGTCAAAACTCTTTGGCTATGGCTTCATACATGCATGGACTTGCTCACACACATACTGATATGATGATCAAACGATTAAAATTTCATGTGAACACTGCTCACATGGAAATTAGAATGAGATTTTTCGTAATGTCCTTTGTTACCAACCGCGAATCACCACCACCATTTTTTTCGGTCCATCTATTTATTTTTATCTTTTTTTTTACTGATAGTTTTACTTATTTCTTATTTAAAAGGTTAGGCCATTGACATGTTTATATGGTGAAATCTTAGAGCAATGATCTATGGATGACAATATTGAATATTACATGGCCATGTAGATCAAAAAATCCAGTGTGACATTTAAAATATATAGAAGTTTTCTAAATGCAAAAAAAAAAATAAAAGTTTCTAGACATCTTCTATTTTATATTATATATGTATTTCATATTTTTTTCACCAACTAATTATTTTACACGTGTCAAAATATTCCACAATTAAACATTAACAGTTGAAGACACAATTTTAATTTTTTTTCTGTACATACATCTCAAAATAGATATTGTGTCATTGGAGATGTTCTTAATTTCGATTTTAGAGAGATAATATTACACGAGATTTAGCACTAGTGATTTCAGAAATTTTATGGTGCCACAACATGATGTGGCACATTATAATTGGTGCCACAACATGATGTGTGATAGTTGTGGCACTAATCATAATGTGTCATATCATGTTGTGGTACCATAATATAGTGCCACATATGACACCATAGAATTTCTGCTAGTGATTTACCCTTCACCCAATTTATTTAAACTATCATGGATATAAATTAAAGAATAAAATTTAGAATAAACTTTTTAGCAAAATCAGATCGAATCAAATATATTATTAGATGCCAACATAGGACACGCCAGCTAATTTAATTGAGACATACCTAATTACTACTAAATTTATCTGTGATTGCTTTGGCACAAAAAAGGCTGTCCAAAAAAGTTAGAAAGGAATTTTGACCAAAGAAAAACAAAAATAACTAAGACGTACTAATGTTATGGGAATTTTTTTTTTAAAAAAAAAAAAAAAAAAAAAAAAAAAAAAAAAGGGCAAGAGAGGACACATGGTAGAGACCTTAACCACGCCGCAAAGTAGTTTGGGTTAGGTAGCCTGAACATGTGATCATGAGCTTAGTAATAAATTAATAATAATGATAAATCTTAATTTTTTAGGGTTTTATATTTATTAAACGAGTTAGGTCTAGCAGCTTGTTTATTAAACGAGGTCAAGCTCGGGCATAAGCTACTAAGCTCAGTTTGGCTCGACAATACTCGAATAACACCCGTAGTTATGTCTGCAGGTGATTCGAAACTAGATTTTTAGAAAAATGTATTCCACTTTAAGAATTTCAATATATTTTTAATAAAAACTATTGACAAATATATGTTCAATGTAAACGATAGAATCACATTGACCAAGATATCTTTAAATCTGGAAAATACATATGAATTAAATATAATTTCATTTATGGTTGAATAACGACTTTAATTTTGGTTGGGTGGTCTAAAGTTCATTTGTTGGATTCCATAAGATGTGGGTGCAGTACATGTGATTATGACTCTCCAATCCCCCATTAAGATACCCAACACCATCACCACCCACCAACTTTTAACAAACCAAACTTTTTGTTAATTAATATTGGCCCCAAACATTTTATTTTATTACTTTTTGCAAGTACTACTAAGGGCGTGATTGTTTACATATTGTACGGTAAAAATCTCAATCAAAATTCAAATTTAACTCAATTTTAACTCAATTCCACTATTTCCTATATTATCAATGTAATAAATAATATCAACCAATCATTATTACACATCACATCAACTTTAATTCACTATTTATTCACTTACATAATTTTAACTAATCATCAATTCCAATCATTTTCTTCTACTTTTACATCAAATCAACTTTAATTATTTTAATTTAAAGATTATTTTAATATATCCACTAACAATTAACCATACTATTTCTTTTCAAACTTAACTACAGTTAAAAAACTAATTTTTTTAGTAGTTGAATCAATATCCAATCACCCCTAGTTAATCTAGGTTTGTTTACCTACCATCCAAACAAGCCACATGCCTAGCTCTTTGATCAATCGTGGTCATTTCGCAACGCAATAGTAGATTTAGCTATAAACAATAATTGACCAATTAATAAGGTTTTTTTTCATGAATTTATGGAGTAATATTCAAATTACCAATGGTACTAAAAAGTATTTTTTATATAAGTTCACGAGTGATATTCTATTTAATTTGTATCATATTTGTTGGTATGACTCATATATTAACAAAGGAAGGAGACAGGTTGATACCTGCGAGCATAACGAAGCGAGCGTAGCGAGGGAAGCGGAGCGACCGAGGACGTAGACATATTGCCGAACTACGTAAATCTTGTGTTGTTTTACTTTCTCGTTTTTAATTCATATGCCATATTGTCATATTCTCTCAACAATATCTTAAAAAGTATCATATTTTTGCTTATATAAAGACATGACCAAGGGCCGACCCCGGCCCGTCGTCCCAGACTGAACCGGTCCCGGACCAGCCCGCAACCGGCCCGTATCACGCTGGTTTTATGAACTGGAACCGTGGCCATACGGGTCGGTTTCGATTCCTTCATTTTTTTTTCGTCCCAGCTCTTCGGGTTGGGCTGAGTCCCGGGATGGAAGACGGGCGGCCTTTGTAATTTTTTTTTTTGGTTTTTGAGGGTAGGGCTGGGTCTGAATCGGCCAAAACTGACGGGTCATCGGCGATTCAATGAACCGGCCCATAGAAATGGCCGCGCAGAGTCACGGCCCGTCATTAGTACTCAATTTCACAATTAGCACAAAACGACTTGTTTTGATGTTCAAAATCATCTAATGAACGTCGAGCGTGGAGAAAATTAAATAATACTATTGTACATACAAAAATTAATTTGATCAAACATCATATAAAACATTGTGAAGAATATATATAATAAATCATAGGGCTATGACCTATGGGTGGTCTCGCTCATGCACATGATTGTATATTTGTATAAAAATGTTGAACGAGTAGGTATTTTTAGGTGGAAGATTATACGCAATTTTATGTGGAACGAATAATTAAGACTCCAAAGGCACCATTTTATTTATTTATTTATTTTTTATTTATTTATTTTCTTAAATATATATATATAGAGTACAACTAATACCATGTGCATTTTCATCGTTTTGTAATTTCAATTATTGCGGCATTTTTGTTTTCTTACGCGTAAGCGTAATCAAATGCGTGACTGTGAATTCATGGAATATGACTAACCAAACAAGATTAATTATTTAATATCTTATAATATTTACGTTCATTGTATTTGATATTATAATTGATTGGAACAGTAAATTAAATTGTACCTAATCCCTTCCACCTTTTGAAAATTAAGGAAGATTTGACCCTACACAACTACAATACATATAAGGTTGTTAACAAAGTCGAGCCGAGCTAGAATTTCTGGTTTAAAAAAACGGACTCAACACTGTTGGAATGTCACTTGTGAGTTGTCCCACATTGATTTGATAGGGTAAATAGGCCTAACTTATAAGCCTAGTGGGCTACTTCTCCTACTACCAATTGATTTTGGGATGGAACCTCATCACTTGGGCTTCATTTGGGCTAACCCTCTTATGGTGCGCTTCACCTGTGTGGGACCGCACTCGTATTGTCCCCCGTTTGACATGGTATCAGAGCGGGCCAATTAGGGACCTGCTAAATAAAAAAAAAAAAAAAGCTACCCGGCTTGGTTGTAGGCGTGGGCTGAAAAATATACCCGGCCTAGTTGGAGGCGTGGGCTGATGAAGGACTCACAAGTGAGGGGGCGTGTTGGAATGTCACTTGTGAGTTGTCCCACATTGATTTGATAGGGTAAATAGGCCTAACTTATAAGCCTAGTGGGCTACTCCTCCTACTACCAATTGGTTTTGGGATGGAACCTCGCTTGGGCTTCATTTGGGCTAACCCTCTTATGGTGCGCTTCACCTGTGTGGGACCGCACTCGTATTGTCCCCCGTTTGACAAACACCCTATCAAAGAGAGCTACCAAACAAATCTATAAAGGAGATCGAGATCAACTCATAAATGAATCTTAATGAGTCGAGTTCGAACCAAATTATACTAAAAGTTTAAAAACTTGATGCAAGAAATTTCATTTATAAAGCTAACAAACCAAGCAGAGATTGGCTTGGGTCGTTATCGTTAACTAAATGAATATTAAATGAGCTTGAGCTCGGCTTGTTTGATATGAGCTCGAACCTTATTCACGAGCAATTCATTTTGTTTAAACAACTCTTAGTGTAATTGTCGATTTTTTTTTGTTGGATCAACTATCATATCGAAAGACAAAGAAGCTTCCGACTAAACTTATGCCTAAAAACTTAGACCAAGAGAAAAAAGCCCTATGTTTTAAGCTGTTGCTTTGTTCTCAAGTTTACCGAGCCTGGCCAGTGAATCTCAGGCGTATATTCGCGTAGTTGTGTGTTGATCTAACAATAAAATTCCGAACTTGATTATTGCACCGCAATATACCGAAAACCAAGCATAAAAAATTCATTAACTTTTGAAAGTCAAGATTGGGGAGAACTTTTATTGAGCATATGGTAACAAAAAGTCTCATTGGATTACATTTGATGCGGGTCAAAAGCTCTCAGCATATATAGGATTTTCATGACAAAGGCATAGATTTTATGCTAAGTCAATATATTCCAAAATCTTGTATTGCAAAATGAGGACATTTGTTGACACATAAATAAGGTTCGCATTGTAATTGTTAGTATATGCTTTTTACTGTCTTACTGTACGGTATATAAAATCAAGATTAGATTTCATATTGCAGTTTTTATTCAAGTTTTCTGTTCAATAAGTGACACTTATATATATTATGACATATATTAATTTATATATATTATGACATATATTAATATATATTTATATATGATATCTTTTTATGTACGTAGTATATTTATTACGTTATTGAGTTTTTTTTTTTTTTTTTTTTTTTTTTTTTTTTTTTTTAAGTGAGGTGGAAAATGTGGAAATGAGAATCTTATCAATTAATGTCTTGGTAAATTTATCTCCTACTAGTCCACTATCTTTATTCAACTTTATATTCCACTAGTTCAAAAGGATTATACTTTTGTGCATAATATGTAAATAATGTTTATTGTTTACACTATTTAATTTTCAGGTATTTTGAATATATTGATATATCAAATATAATTTACGTAATAGAATTATGGTTGAAGGTCTGCAAACGAGTCGAGCGGCTCACATGCCACTCTCAAGCGCTCGAGTCAAAGCTCGACTCGAGTTCGAGCCGCTCGTGCTGTAACGAGCGGCTCGATATATAAATTAAATTACTAAAATAATCCTTATATATATTTAAATAGTATAACAAGAGTTTAATAGTAATTTCACTTAAAATTTTCAAGCCGAGCTCGAGCATTTGATTTCAAGTCGAGCTCGAGCTATTGTATTTTCTTATCGAGTCGAGCTCGAGCCGCATAAATCAAGCTCGAAGAGCTCGAGCAGCTAAATAAAAAAAATCAATCATGCTCGATAAGGTCAATGCTCAACTCGACTCGACTCGTTTGCAGTCTTGGTTGAAGGGAGCTATTTAATTTAACTTTTTTTAAATAGGTAATAAAGAAAGAGCTGCATTAATGTATATTAAAATTAAAGTAGAGAAAAAATCATGAAATTATTTGAATATATTGACTATTTAATCTGCCAAGGTTGGTGAAAAATATATGAATATGTTATAGTCCCAAAGTCCAAATTTTCACATAGAATTTTCACCACTTGAATGGGACTTTATATAATTAAAAAAACATCAATTGCAGCTATATATAAATTATAATTTAAAACATGATCAGTTGCATGCCTTTATAATGATAGTATGTAAGAGCATGTGATTATTTTGTCAAATGAACGAACATGCGTGAATGTATTGTTCACGGAATTCAACTGAAAACATTATCTTATAATCAACCAGATGTCAATTTTGCTTAAAAAAGACATTAATAACCAAAAAAAAAAAAATTAAATTATATAACTTCATAAATCCGCAATCAAAATTAATAAGAATATAGAACTGTTAATAATAATCGTGTAATAATATAAATATGAAAGCTTTATTTTATTATTCTTTTGATTATTATTATAATACCTGCTTTGACTTTTTCCTTTAATATTAATAATGGCAGATTATTGTCTATTGTTACTCATTTAATAAATTGGTTGAAAGTAATTGGTTATAAAATTTGAAATTAAGCCGGCCATACACATAAGCCATGTGATTAGACAAATCAAATCACCTGGAAAAATAATATATAAAGTTAGTTTTTTTTTTAAAAAAAAAAAAATATATGTATCCCCTAAATCTGGTAACTTAATTATCATATAGTTCACGCATCAAATATCTACATAACTTTTGTTCGAACAATAAACGAACGAACAATATTCAAACATAATCAACCCGATCTCCTCATGCATCATCAATTTTGTGCATTAAGACTCATATTTGTGTTCCAACATTCGAACAGAAATTTCTGCTCTAACAAAAGAACAAACGAACACAAACACTGTTCAAAGTTCAAACACAATCGAACATGAGCTCAAAATACTCGAACTAAATCGTTCAGTTCGATTACAGCATTGGAATAGAGATAATATGACCGAAACAATCCCTTCTTTATTCGTCCATTAGCAATCACTAAAATCGACCTGCTTTCAAGACCAAAATACACATAATTCTGCAGCGATGATGAAATCTTGATTCAAACACCAAAAATGAGAACACATACCAAAAAAAAAAAAA